GATGCTCTTCGCCTCTGGGGCAGCCGGCGGTGGGGATGCCGAGAGCCGGGCACCTTACGGGGCTCTTCCCGGTCCGTGTCTGAGCTCGTAGCTCTCTCTCTTCTTCTGCTTTGTGTGGAATATGCTTGAGCTTCTGCTGCAGCCAGGACTCCGCGCTTAACGGTGCTCCAAGTGTGAGTCTTCAGAGCTAGGTGGGATTTAGTGCCTGGCGTGAGGTAGGAATGAAGGCAAGTTTGGATAGTGGCTCTTCGGCTTAAGCTGCTGTGCCATTGATGTGCTTTCCAGTGTGCTGCTTTTATTACTGTTTTCAAAATACCGGATGTCCATGCAGTTTTAAGCCTTGTCCATTGAGGAAAATAAACCACTCGAGAGGGAGTAAGTAAAAACATCCAATACGTTTCTGGTTTTAAAATTGAGTTGCCTGATTTCCATAAAATTTATCTGCAAGAGCCAATTTATGCAAGACTATCCAGTTACAGACCTGCCAAGGCTATGAGAGAACGCAGCCAGCAGAGCCTCGGTGGACACGTCCTATATGTAGGGTTATTCCGACATCCAGGAATGCTGCACAGGGCTAAGTACAGCCGATTCAGGAATGACTCGATAACATCCCTTGATGAAGGTACACAAAATACGTCTTTAAATATTAAAGGTTCTTCCTCCTCTTCCCATTCTTCATCACCTAATTTACTGGCGGAAGATGTCTCCTTGGGGCCACAGGACACCTGCAGCACTCTGTGCACGCTGATCCCCCGCATGGCTAACATTAAACTTGCCAACCCGTCAAGTCTGCCGGGGCTGAAAAGCTTCTGTCTGGGAATGAAAGAGGTGCCACGGATTAAGCTCACGGAGTGTGTTACCATCCCGAGCAGCCCAACCTCGCCTGAGATCAGCTGCCTGTCGGCCTCTTACCCACAGCCTGACCTGGACAAACTGGCCCTAATCCCAAAGGCAGCGGGTGACTGTGCCATGCGGGGAGCAGAGGAGGCCGCTCCCATGGGCAGGCAGGACAGGAGCCTTGCACAGAGCCGTGAAAGCGTGGGGGAGCCGGGAACAACCTACAGCGTGCGGGTGAGTACTTCTCACAGGGTTCCATTTTCTGACAGGGCAAACTGCTCAGGTGGCTGCAGGGTGACCTCCAAGTTCCCAATCCTGCGATCGGTGCCCCAGACCACTGACTTCTCCTGTGTATTTCCTGTTTCCTAGCATATGTAGGGCTGTGGTGTTGAAATGGAGGGAGTTAAAAGGACCACAGCCAATCCCAGAGGTAATACAACATCCATTTCCAAAAGACTATCTTTAGACTCTCTGAGGAGTACAGCTGAGCTGCAATTCAAACAGGGGTTACTCTGGCCTGAAATGCATTTTGGAGGGAGAAAGAGGCCCATGAAAAGGGCTTTCCATCCCTGACAGAGCAGCTCCCAGGCACTAGGTGCAGTCTGGTCCATGCCACTGTCATATTTGTCATGGGGGGTGTGGGAGACGTGCTGGGACCACTGCTGCTGCTCGCAGCGCCTCTCCCCGCACCTCCTGCCCTGCGAGGTGAGTGGGCAGGATCCAAAAGCTGCCCTCCTCTGGTGCTGTAGGGCTGATTTTCTTGGTGATGATGATGTAAAGAAATCCCTGCGTGTTTCTCCAGAAGACACCTTGAAATAGCCTTTCCTCAGATTTGTCATGTTGTGAGCTGGGGTTAGTGGGTATCATCTTATAACTAGCGGTCAGTGGCTGAGAGGAGACTTATGCTTTTGCTCCCTGCAGCCCTGCCACACCTGGCAGCTTTCTCATTTTCTTTTCCTCTCCTCTTCTGTGGCCAGACCTCACCATATGCTGGCCATTGCTTCCTTCTCTATGCTCTGAACCTCTGACCCTGTACATCTTAGTGCTTACGCTTCATCTGTCAAAAGCACTCCCAGGCAAAACCTGCCTGCTGCTTACATGGAGGGAGCCAGTGGAGACCATGGGGAAATGGCAGAGAAAGCAGTCTAAACCTGCTTCAGAAATACTCGTGTAATGGCTGGGCTGGCCAAGAGCTTCTGTAGCTCTCATAGCTCTTGTGCCTATCCCTGACATACAAGGAGGATCGCAGGAGCAAGCTGTACAGGGTGTTAACCAGCATCTATTCCTCTTGGTGGGCTGCAGGCAGAGTGCTAAGAGCATGTGTGTCTATAAGCTCTGTTAGTTGTAAGAGAGGTATCAAAATGTGCCAGAAGGAGTAAAAGAGCTATAAGCCTTCCAAATCTGTGTCTCCTTTGTGATGTTTCGCAAGAAAGAAAGGTGCAAGGCCAAGAAGAATCAATCAACCCCTTTCCAAATGCAGCAGGAGGGCAGGCAAGCCAGAGAGGAGAAGAGTAACATGGGGAAATAGCTGTGTTCACCTTTCTGCAGGCAGGAACGAGGTGCCTGCCTGGCATCCAGCAGTAAGAGCACAGCTAGTCTGATGGGCTGTTGGCTGAGAGGTGACAGTGTCCCAGCGTGGCACCAGCCGCTGTGAGTGGAGCCACAGGAAGCCTGGAACATTCACCTGGGATGCAGCAGGTGGAGGGAGGAGATGCACAATATGTGTACGTTCTCTTTTGTTTAAATTCTAGTACTAATGTGAGCAGTTGAGGTTTTGACACCAGCAAGCTGCTAATAAAGATGAATGAGCATGTAGGCTGTGGCTTAAGGCGGCAGTGCAGGGGCCAGCGCAGCTCCAGGTGCTGCACTCTCAGCCAGCTCACAGGCGGCCTGTGCTGGTGGATGGTGTCGTGGTGCCCAGCGCCCGCTGCACAGGATCTGCCTCCTGTGCTGCCCAGTGCAGTGCAGCTCATGAGTAAGGCTTTGAGGTACCTATAGAGAAACTCAAATACTGGGTTGCTAATGCCAGAGGCACACTTAAAGGATTCCGTTTCTGATAAGGGGAAGAGATGATGAAGCTCTGCAGGAGTTTCCCAGGTTTCTGCAGCGGCCCAGTGCCGAGAGCAAGAGGCACCGAAGTGTCACCCACCGGGGAGCACGTGAGCAAGAAAGACAGAAGAAAGCAAAAAAACCCAACTTGACAGGAGGGTTGTGTGAAGTGGGGAAGGGCTCATCACTTCCTGCTGCTCCCCAGGTTGTATTTCATAGAATCACAGAATGGTTTGGGCTGAAGGGACCTCAATGCTCATCTAGTTCCATCCCCCTGCCACGAGCAGGGGCACCTTCCACTAGAGCAGGTTGCTCCAAGCCCCTGTGTCCAACCTGGCCTTGAACACTGCCAGGGATGGGGCAGCCACAGCTTCTCTGGGCACCTTGTGCCAGCGCCTCAGCACCCTCATGATGAGTTTCGGTATGGTTTCTGCTGAACTTTCTGGAAATCAAGCCATTTCATGGGGAATGTTTCTGAAGCGGGGGGTGTGTGTGTGTGTGGTGGGGGTGGTGTCACTGGCAGGAGCCTCCCAACACAACAGGGAAATGTTTCCCTGACTCTTTCCTGCATCTTGCCTTTACTGTTGCTCCTGCAAATGCCAGCCCCAGGAGAGCTGCAAGAGCATTGCTGGTGTGTCCTGGCCCATCGCTTGGTGGTTTGTGTTTTTTTGACTTCTAATTACAAGCAGATGCGTAAATAAGCAGCCTTGGGGTTTGGGGGCTTCAGCGTCAGAGCATGGGCAGGATGCTCATTTCCCCAGGGGCCATGAGGCTTCTCTGGGAGCTGGTGGTGAAGCCTCAGGAGGGCTGGGAAGCAGCCAGGGGCGCAGGGCTGCAGCGTGGCAGGAGTGCAGTGCAAAGGGATGGTCTTGCCCGAAGGCAAAGAGGGGCTGAGACACTGAGGGGCTTTACAGCTGTGGGAGCTGCTCATGATCCTTACCCCAGTTCTCCCAATCCTTATCCCCTCTCCTGTGGCATTTGGAGACATCTCCTATCCCTGTGAAGCTTCCTGTGCCCTGTTAAGGTAGGGGTTTGTTGGGATCTCCGCAGAGACTGTTTTAGGAGGAAAGTCAGGTCTACATTACGCAGGCTGCTGCTGCCAGAGATCTTTGACCTTAAAAGCTTAATTGGAGTCTGAAGAAGATTTGGCACTTACGTGGAGAGGATCCACAGTTTTTTAGAGGCAATAATATGGTGAAGTAATGAAATGCCTTAGGGCAGAAGCTGTCCCCTACAGACTGGAGTGAGGCAGGGATTGTCTTTCTGGGGTTGGTGTAAGAAGAGGTGATGCCAGGGGGTATCAGCTTTGTCTGTGTGTGACTGTGGTGACAGGGCACCTGTGTCACAGCCGTGTGTCACCTGGGCTCTGGTGAGGAAGCCAAGACACGTATCAGCGGCTGTTCCCCGAGATGCTCATGAAAATAGCAGAGAGCCCGAGTATTAATACTTCAACAGGAGCCTGCGCAGCTCTGACCCCCACACTGTCACCTTTCACGACGTACTTTGCATGCGGTTTGCTGCAGGATTTACAAGATGGATATTTACCTTGTCCTTGTTCACGTTCTACCTGCTACATGCCTTCCCACAATGCTGCCCATCTGGAGCTCAGGTTGTCTCTGAACAGTGCCCATAGTAGCCACAGCACTTGTGTCTCCTGCCAGTGCTCCTTATGGCTGTGACAAGCCTGAGGAATATTCCAGGAGGCACTTGCCCCGTGTTCAGTTCTGAGCCCCTCACTACAAGACAGACATTGAGGTGCTGGAGCGGGTCCAGAGAAGGGCAGTGAAGCTGGTGAAAGGTCTGGAGCACAAGTGTGATGAGGAACAGCTGAGGGACCTGGGGTTGTTCATTCTGCAGAAAAGGAGGCTCAGGTGAGACCTCGTTGTTCTCTACAACTACCTGAAAGGAGGCTGTAGCGAGGTGGGTGTTGGTCTTGTCTTCCAAGTAACATGCAACAGGAGAAGAAATGGCCTCAAGTTGCACCAGGGGAGGTTTAGATTGGATATCAGGAAATGTTTTTTCATGGACAGGGTTGTCAAGATTGGAACAGGCTGCCCAGGGAAGTGGTGGAGCCACCATGCCTGGAGGTGTCTAACAGAAATGTAAAAAATTAGGTAAATGTGGCACACAGGGGCATGGTTTAGCTGTGGACTTGGCAGTGCTGGGTTAATGGTTGGACTAAATGATCTTAAAGGTCTTTTCCAACCTGAATGATTCTATGATTCCTGTGGGTGAATCACTGGCTGTCATTCAAGCTGGAGCCACTAACTGTGTTATGGCAGGGAATGAAATGAGACGTGGGTCTGGATTAGAGGATGCCTGAAAAGCTTATTCACATGGGCTCTGCCTAGTGCCTTCACATCTCCTCCCACACGGTCCCTCATCCTGTTTGCAGTCACTCTCCATCATCTCTTGTAAATAGATGTGAAAAGATGTGTGCATCTTCAGTAACCACCCTGCTCTCTCCCGCGCGGGGAAACAGCAGCCAGCCCCACATCACCCTCTGGACACAAACACCGAGAGATGAAGCAGACTCTGGTGCCGATGCTCTCCCCATCCCTGTGCAGGGAGACAGGGGACAACTTTGCACATGCTGCAGTTAGAGGAGCAGTTCCTTTTCCAGCAGGGGCCAGTGAATCTCTTCTTTCCCTCTTGAGAGCTGTTGCTCGCCCTGGCAAGAGCTTTCCATCCTGCTGCCAGCAGATCAGTGGGTCCAGCATCCGCTTTCCTTGGTGATGTCAAGTTCTCAGCACTCAGCTTGTTTCAGTGCTGGCATTTTATTCTATTATAGTTCACTGAATTCTGCAGTTGTATCTGTGCTTGTTGTCCTGGGCAGGTTACAGCACCCTTGTGCCTGTGTCCAGCTTCCCCCAGCAGCTCACTGAAGCCAAGTTGTGATCCCTCTTTGGAAGATGAAGCCCCCTCCTTGGACACCACCTCTGAACACTCAGTATCTCTATTACCATGCTACAAAGACACCCAGTGGACAGCTTGGGCTGGGGCAAGGGCTGTGTGCTCCTGTGGCTTCCTCTCCTGGAGTGCTGGGCAGAGGAGAAGTCTCTGAGACAGGCATTGTCCTTGTCTGCTGCCTTCCCCTTTCTTTCCTACACCACTTGTCAGCCTCAGCTATGGAGGGGTTATTCTTTTCCTTGTTTATTTGTTAATTATTTTTTCTTCCTTGGAGACTGACTTTCGTTTTTTTGAATAGGCTTCTGGTACCCCACTGTCTTTTTATGTGCTCCATGGGCTTCTCTGCAGCTCTGTGACCCTGACTTCCTGTGCCTCAGGCCCGCAGGTCCCCCTGCCCTGGGCTCTGCTGGTTCTCTGTACCCTCCTGCTGAGATGTGAAGGTTCAGCCATGACGAACTGTGCTGGTCTGGATAACCAACAGCAGCTAAAATAAATGAAGGATGCAGCAAGTGCCATGTTAATGCACTTCCCTACTCAGGCTTTTAAAGACCAAAAAAAAAAAGGTCTTTTGTGAATCATTGATAAGTTCAGCTTCACTCAGGGTCACTTATGCAAAACCTAATATTGATTTTTCATCTTTGCTTAGAGTAGCTTCCCACGCATCTGTTCAGGATGCGATGGGGACTCACTTATCAGCATATGACTCACCTACTCCTCTGAATCTTTCTTTTTTCAAGGATAGAGGAGCAGCCAACCAGCTCACAGGATGCTTGACCTTATACCATAGGATCAGAGGTCACCACTCTGCTACAAGCTGGGGCTCTAGACATATTTTGCACATTTGCTTTGTTCCCGTTAAGCAGGAATATCTTTAACAAGTAAGATAGATCTCAAAATCATTAAATGTTCATTAGGGAAGCAGTTCTGCTAACCCTTCAGATTCTTATTGATGTCCTTCCAGGTCTCTGACCTAATTCTAGAGTTCTCCCAGGGGTTACATTGCTATCTGGAAGGAAACCAAAATAGGGATAATACAATTGTTGTGGAATCCCAGCTTGACTGCACACATAATGTTCTCTTTTTAACATACACATTTGTTTCTGAGTGTCTCCAAAGCTGAGATACCTAAATCCATCCCCCTCTGAACGGCACAGCAGAAAAACCAATTCACAGGCCAAGTGAGGCAGAGGAGGTAAATACGGTACCTTTCCTCTGACTATGCAGAACAAGAGGACAGAGCATGCATGTCCCTGCCTGGGGTTTCCAGGTTGTCTGCTGTATCCCAGAGGCTTGAATTCCTGCAGAAGGCTGCACAGACAGCCTGTCACTGCAGCCTGTGGGCACTGTGTGAGCACTGTAGGATGCTCCTGACATCCCTTTTCCCTCTGGGAGAATTCACTGTGGAAGAGGGGGATGCAGAGAGACCCAGACCTCTGCAAGCCTTGTGAAATGGGGAGATGTCAGAATGCTTCAGTAGCAAAGAGATGGGTATCAACAGATATGCTGAAGGAATTAGGAATATGTTTTGGGAGAGGTAAACTCAGTGGATAGACATATCCTAGCACACTTCATTGAAATGAAAGTGTTCCATAGGTTAGTATATAACATCAAAGGAGTCTATGGGCTGACATGCCATCACATTCTTGATGTTTCTGAAAATTAGCCTTATGCAAATCCCAAACGAGTACAGAAAAAGCCTTCAGCTCTGTCCTGTGCAACAGAAATGTGGGAGTCAGCCTCTAATTTCAAGCAGGTCAGTTAATAGTGCAGGCTCTTAAGAGCTGTTGCTATGAGCTGGAATTGCAGTTCTACCTCCTTCATCTTCTGCAGAGGTTATTTGTCATCAGACGTGCAGCAGCATGGAGCCAGTGGTTTTCCTCATGCCTAGTAATGCCTCCCACTGCTCTGAAGGGACATTCAGCTCTTCTGCACAGGGGCTCTGAGTGCATTGGTCCCGTGGGGCTTCCAGAGTCCCTCTGCCCCGGGGGAATTTCCCTCTAATGTGCATGTATTCCTTGGAGCTCAGTGCCACAGGCTAATCACTGAGAATAAGCAGAGCTGGAAAAAAGAGTGGTTGGATTTTGTGTCCCCAGAGGGCTTTACCTTTTTTTTGGTGTGCTTTGTTGTTGAAACCACTGATATCTTTATTGCTCTTCTCTACACTTTTCAGTAAATAAATCTATTTAGGAAGCAGCTTTAGGATGACTGATTTGATTTACCATTTAGACTGTGGTTCTGCATATACTTAGTGGACTGAAATCACATTTGTTTCCTTCTGTGAGCCTCCTCTTACCTGTGTGCTAGATATTAACAAAGCCCTCCTTTCTCTCTGTCTCTGTTCTCCCTAGTACATGGGCTGCATTGAAGTGCTGCAGTCAATGAGGTCCCTGGACTTTGGCACACGAACGCAAGTAACCAGGTAGGTGATATCAAACTGAAGTTCAGCCTAAGAGTGAATAAGCCGAGTGTGTAAAGCCAAGGGTGCATGCCAAGCTCCGAGACACTTTGAACAGGAGTTTGCATGTTTTGTTTTGTTTTGTTTTCCCAAGCGATGATTTGAATTATTTGATCGTTACAATAGGCTATTTGCACTGGAAAAAGAATTGTTTCAGCCACAGACCTCATTTCTGTCCCAGTTCTTGTTCTGGATGCAGAGAGCCTCCCCCTGCAGCCACAGCACAGTACAGGCATCCCCAGCTAGCTGGGTACTGGCAGCAGCCAGTCCATGCATGTGGGCTCGACGCTGCCCGTGCAGCTCAGCCAAGGCACAGGGTAGCCAAGGCAGCGAGCCTGGGTGCTCACAAGCCTCCCTGCCGCTCTGCTTCACACCTGATACAGAAAGTGCCACTGGTCCCTCGATGCAGCAAGGTCCTCTAGTGAGTTTTTATCAGATGTATGACATTGCTTGACCCCATCTGCACCAAGGTCAGCCTCAGCTGGAAGTGGAGTCATAAGGAAAACGTTGAAATACAGCCATTGCTTCAGGCCTAAGTTTCCAGCCTCCAAATCAGAAAAAGATGAATGTTTCACTCTCAAATACAACTGAATGTGGTTTAAATGTGAAATATTTTGTGGTCTTTAGAGAAGTTTGCAACTTCTGTTGCACATTGCTGCTGGCTGCAGATGATCAATATATGCACCCATGGGGCTGCTGAAATGTCCACTCAGGAGCAGAAAAGCCCAGTTTATTTTTATGTTTATCCTTGTAAGTCTGTCAGTGCAGGAGTGTTTTAAGTTTTCAAAATAAGCACCCTCTTTCCATCTCGTAGCACTATGTGCTGCTGGGATGTACTCACCGTCCAGCAGCCAGGACTGGTGCTCTGTTGGGCAGCCCCAGCAACCACCCAGCATCCCAGCACCTCCAAAGGCTTTTTGGAGGGGTGGGTGGGTGCAGAGTATTTTGGCCTGGCTTTAGACATGTTCCCTCCTCCCCTCAGCTATTTTTCTGGCATGGGTCATGCTGAGGATGCCAGGAGTGTGGTTGAGGCTTCCTCCGCCTGCCCAACTCTTCCTTCCTGCTGGTGGATGATTTACAGATGCTCTTTTGCTTCCTCAAGTGCTTGTATCAAAGAAATCGTGGAGAAAGGAAAGGAACATGAAGAGATAAGTGTTCCTTTGCTCCTTATTAGCTCCCAGACTTACCAGCTAAAAGGAAGAAACTGAAAAAAATTGGTTCCTTAAATGCCTGTATTCTGCACTCGAAAGCTGCCCGATTTGTTTTGTATTTAAAATGAGCGGTTGTTGACATTTACAATCAGCATAAGCACACACTCACCCAGTTCCTGCATGTGTACATGGGGAAGTGCCTGAGATAGATACAAATATATTTCCCTCAGCCTGGTTGTTTACTGATCAAAAAGAGTCGTGTAGTACACTGAGCCCAAAGCAATCAGCCTGGAGCATTCAGATTGTTTTCTTCAACAGCCTCAGCCAAGGAGCGAGGTGAGCTCCCGATTGCAAGACACAGAAGTATGTACGTATGTATTGGATGGTTTGTCTGGAACATAACAAATACGAATTACTGTGTGACAAAGGCTTGACACCTTAAATTTGGCCCTAATAGCAAGGTTTTGTAAACCAGAGCTATGAGAAAACTTAACAATGGAAATATTTCCATCATCTAAAAAATATGCCCGTGCTGACCTTAGTGGGCTGTTTTGTGCATGAGAAATTCAAAACTTAAACTGTTTGCAAACTGAATGCTGAAGTGCTGAGCTCATGCATGCAAACTTTAAAGTTCGATCGATTACAAGCTGACTGGAGCGAAGATAACATTGATTATTCCCCCATTGTTCTCCCAGGGGAGTAAGTTTATAGACGGCATGTACAATGCACCAACCACGGAGTTATTGGAAATGATCCCATTTTAATCATCTTTGTTACTTGTACTGGGGGTAAAAAATATGTTTACTCCAATGGCATTTCATTAAACAAAGAGGCATCTTCTGTTTTAAAGTGATGTAGAAAGGGTCTCTAATTAAGTCTGCTCCCTGCCTTGCTCCATGTGTATGTGTGTTCTTAGCCTCCTGGTCTCTAAAATTAAAGATATTATTTACCTACCTCATATGAATGTTGGAAAGATCAACAAACTCCTGTTTGCCAAAGAGCCGTGAGTAAGGAGCCAGAAGAGATGAGCATGGAGGATTTATTTTCTGGTTTCTTGCTGGACTTGCATGTTCAGTTGCTTACCAGGCACAGGGCTGGGGAAGGCAGAAAATGGCCTCTCCAGCGCTACGAATGACCATGGGGTGCAGAGATACTGTATGGCCATCGGGCTGAATGACTGCAGTGTAGCAAGGGAAGGGCCAGGCACTGAGGTGCTTTTTATCCTCAGCCCTCATGGCTGTGAGGTGAGGAGGCTGGCGGAGGAGATTTCACTGCAGCAGTTTTCCCTTCCAGCTCTCTGCCGTTGCCTGCCTGTGACCCAACTCACATGCTCTTAGGACATCTCTCCCATTTTGCAGAAATTTGTGATCCCAAATTCCATGTAGATGACAAGAGTAACACCTAGAAATAACAACGAGGGTAACAGGTTCCTCTGCTTGAAAGGCTTTGTATTTTTTTCTGAATGGTCTCCCATAAACATGGTGTGCTTGTTGTTCTCAGTACAAAATGTATTTGGGCTTGTTCTGTGGCAGGTCCTGCCTTTGCTGGACCCCGATGTGCACTTCCCTTGTCCAGCCCTTCAACTTTTTTCCTCTTACACATCTCCCGCTTCTGTTGAATCAAGCTTATTAATAGCCACTGTATTTGGGCATTTATGGGAAAAGGGATTCTGTATCTTAGATCAGGGCATAAACTTGAAAATGGTCAGGCACTGAGGGGCGAAGGGCATCTGAAACGTGCTGCTGGGGTGGGCTGGTGGAAGAAGGCTGACTTTGTGTGGAAGATTAATTTCAACTTTGTTGAGCCACACAATCCCTTTCTGTTAGATAGTGTAGGCAGAGCCCGAGATGCTTAAAAGCAAATCTTCAACAGCATACTTACTTGCTTACATCAGTCCATCTCTCTTGTTTTACTCTCATTTGAGGGAACAATAAACAAAGTGGCTCACTGTTACTGCCGGCGCGGCACTCTCCCGCATGTGCACGCTTGGCGAGGGAGGAGCAGGGAGGAGTGTCGGCTGCAGGTTTCACTCCAGAGGTGCAGACCCAGAGTAAACCTGTAAACTGTACAGCTGAGCTCACCTGAAGACATGGATGCCCAAAATGGGGCTGCCCTTGTCACTCCCTCCTGCCCCAGAGCTTGCTGAGCCCTTGCCAAGCAGCTGCAGCCTGGCTGGCTGGCTGCTGCTAACCAGTGGGCAGAGGGAGCAGTGCCCTGAGGGGCTCAGGGGCTGCACCAGGTTATTTTGGCTGAAAGCAAGAACTCCCTGTGCTGTTGGCTCCCACAGCACTCAGCCATGTAGGGGCCGTGACACTGTCCTGCTTCAGTACATCTTGCCCAGGAGCTGAGGAGCTGCTTACAGCTGTGTGCTCAGGAGTCTCCGTGTCCCAGTCGAAAAGAGGTGGTCCAGGTTCCCCACCCCATGTCCTCGATCCCATAGAGGGCCTGTGCCAGCCTGGATCCTCACTGAACTGGTGCCCAGCAGAATAACTCGTGGGAAACTCCCCTGCAATGGATGGATATCTGCTGGGGCCAGGAGTGGGACCTCTGGCCCTGCGGTAGGTCTGCTGCTGGTGACAGCCCAGGGACCAACATGCTTCAGAGGAATATTCTTCAGGATGGTGAAGAGAACTCTTCCATTCACTACGGAAAGTGAAAACTGTGTCAATGAAACAATGGCCAGTTTATGTAATCGTGTGGGCACTGCAGGACCAACTGACAGAGACTCTACTTCAAATGGCAGAAGATGCCTGAGGAGTCGAGGAGCAGGATTTTCTTCTCCTTAAACTACAAGAAAAAATTAAATTCCTCAGAGCCCTCCTGATTTCACTGTGTGGCTCCCAGGGTCAAGAAGAGCTGCTGCAGAGTGTGCAAGTGGAGTTACCTCATTCAGGGCGATTTAAGAGGAAAACAAATAAAAATCCAAAAAGTGTTTTATTTTGGGATGAATGACGAGAAGAGAAAGAAAAAGCAGCAACATGACTGGAATAACAAGGCCACTTTTTCTGCTACTGCCTCAGATTTGGAAGATAGGAAAGGGACAAGCAAATGCCAGAACCCATAAGGTTGCCCATTCATTCAGGAACAAGGCGATTAACTATGTCAGCCTTGCACAAGTAAATGCCACGCTGCAGATCTAAGAGCAGAGACTTGCCTGAGCAACTGTTTGAAAATGAATGCTGTAAGAATGAATTGATAGAGGTTTTCCAGCAAGAAAGCACAGATACAGTAAATCCTATTCCAGTTTATTGTAGATGTATCCAGAGTTTCTTTTCTTCCTAATGTAACCAGTTTGTAATTCAGGTCTGCCTGCCCGGTGGAGATGACTGAAGAAGTGTTCAGTTGTAGCAGCAAAGTGTTACCAAACTGCTGCTTTTCACACCTTTAAAATAATAGCTGAGAAGGTTTGTTAGATCGCCTGGAAAACCAGGCAGAGGTATTCTGCAAGAAACGTCTGTGAGAAGATGATTTCCCCTACCAAAAAGAGGTAACAGAAACTATTAAGTAGAAATGATTTACCTACTTTTTGGTTTCTGTTTGGAGGACAACTGCTTCAGAGTGTGGTGAAGTGGGCAGTTGCTAGCTTGTACAAGAATGGGCTCCAATGCTGGCAACTTTATCTACAACTTATTCTACATGGGCTGCCTGAAGTGTGTGAGAACTCATTTAACACCAAAACAGATGACTTCCCTGTTTTTCCAATTTATTCTGTATCTGGTTTTCTTTCTAGGTAGAGCTAGACTTAAAGGCTCCAAGTAGCCTTAATGTCTTGGCTCTGATTTTAATTTCCTTTAATATTGAATGAGAAGATGAGCTCTCATTTTCCAAGCTGATTATTGGAATCTGCAAGATCATCCTGCAGGATGCCTTTCCCATTTTCTTTTTTTTTTTTTTTAGTTTTGGCCTTTCTGCTGGTAACAGCAAAAAACCCCAAAACCAACCCGGGAGCTAAACAATAGGGATATCAGGAATTCGCTTCACAAGTGTATTTTCAGCTGTGTAGAGGGAATTGTTTTGCTTTAGAAGGCTGTGTTTCTGACCCATCTTGTGTAGGTCACCATAAAGTCTCCTCTTCCCTGCTTTTTCACTCAGAAGATATTAATTTGTATTATTTTACCATGGGTTTGGTCTCCATTCATTTGATGGTCTTCAGGTTGAATTTCTCAGGATGTTCTCTGAGGGGAAGACTTGATGTAGCATCACTGATCTTCAGTGCTTTAAGCACATAGCCCATCAGCTTAACAATGTCCGTGGTGGTGCACTGAGCAGGGGGCAGCAGCAATGCTGCGTCTCACTGGCACTGTGCTGGCTTTACTTGCTGTCTGATCTGCTCCCTGGGCACGATGCAGGGTCCTGGGCAGACCACACTCCTCACTGGGGCACCTCTGCTTCGTGGGACATACCTGGCTGGAGCATCTCATTGTTGTGCAGTCTCCTGATAACTTTTAGCCCTTCTGAAGCAAACCTTCTCAGGAGATGAAGCCCAGTGGCATGTTCCTCCCATGTACGTGCCCGCGCTGAAAACAGACAAACTTTCCTAAGTAGCTTGTTTCTTCATTAGCTCTTTGGATAATAATCCAATAGCATTAACAAATAATTAAACAAACTAGTCCTGTTCCCCTTAAGAACAAAACGAAATCCCAGCCCTTTAAAGCCCAAGTCTGAATTCAGCTGTGAGAGAAAGGCTGAGTCTGTGGCCTCAAAATGGGAACCAAAGCCTGAGAGGGTGACTGGGTGACGGTGGTGCAGCTCACTGCAGCAGAGGGCCAGGGCAGAGATCCCATGGGAGCTGTGGCTCAGACCGGGATGTCCAGGCAAGGTTAAGGAAACTTGCTAAGCACATCCCAGCCCAGTAAGTCACTGTTTTTCCATTGACTTCAAAACAGTAAGTGTCACTCAGGGAAAGCCTGTGATTGCCAGCAGAAGGTGTTTTTGCAGCTGTTGTGCTAACCTCGATCAGAGCAGTCGGGTGCTCCACTGCATGTCCAAACCAGCCACCTGCCTAAGAATATATCAGAGTTTTCTTTGTTCAAGCGTGGAAAATAGGTGCGGTGGGTCACTGTATTATACTACGTGTGATTTTGCTGTCTTTGATATATACCAATAAACACCGTGTGCTTTATGCCTTACCTTTCTGCTTCCCTAACTGAGAGATGCCTATAGAGAATAGTGGGTGGCTGGCAAGGTTTGGGAAATACCTGCCAGAACTGGAAAGATGTGAACTGAGACCTCAGTCTTGAAAAAGAACTGCAGAAGCTCATTACGCTGCCTTTTTTCCCCCCATTTGTTTTTTCTTTAGGAGGAACCCCAGACACCAGGAAGGCAATCAGGAGACCCAGCTGGGCACACTCAGCATGCCCCGGCTGGTCTAAATAAGAAGGATTAAGGGAGGGAAGGGATTCTCTCTGCTAAGTAAGAGACCTATCAACTGTACTGAGAAAAGGGATTTGAAGGCTTTAGGTTGTTTGAGTTTCTTGTGCTTAGTTGATGGGTTTTTTAAAGAACAAATTGTCACTAGGTGAAACTGATGTGTTTTATGAAGGAAAAGAGTCAACCCAAACCAGGCGGCTGAATCACTGTATTCTGTTAAATAGGTTGTTTTTTCTTTAACAGTGGGAGGAAAGAAGAAAAACAGCTGTGAAAGACCTTCCAGAAGATTAAAGTGTTTATTAAGTGGGACGATAACAATAAATTGCAGAGTTGCTGGCTCTGTTACAGATGATGCATGTGAAATGATCCAACAGTTTGTGCTGTATTTTTCTACTTGCAGGGAAGCAATAAGCCGGCTGTGCGAAGCTGTATCAGGTACAAATGGAGCTATAAAAAAGAGGAAGGTAAATACTGTTTTAGCTGAACATTAAATTTTCTCTATCTGTTTTTGGTAAGTTGGATACATGATTCCCTAACAGGCTTCAGTCCATGCTGGAGTTAGTGCACATTAATCCATCTGAACTCAGTGTAACACGACAGCATTTGTAGCAGGGTGTTTAGCCTGCTTGGTTTGGGGCTGAGGCTATGTCCTACCTTATTTCACTCAGGATTGGTGCTTTGCCCAGAGTTCCTACTCCTACCAGCCTTTGCAGTGCTCGGTGCCTTACAGTTTTTAGGTTCTGGCTGGTAAAATGTCAGAGGGTTTATTTAGCAACAGGGAGCTCATTCACTGGAGGATTTCCTGTTTGTTATTTGTATATATAAAAAACTAAACACAGCTGAAATGGCAGTGTTTAGTGGGCAGCTTGCTTATTAAGTAACTGGGATGTAATGAGGGCCAACGTCAGTGGCTGCTGTTGGGTCATGTCCAGTGGAACTTATTGATCTCCTTCTGTAACTGCGGGGCCTGGGAGGAATGAACTTGCTGCTGAAAAATGAACACATGAGAGATTTTCTTGATTTACTCAGAAACGCTTTATGCCCAGGAAATGAAGCAGAGTTCAG